GATGACGTGGCATATTAAAAACCAAGAAAAAACATAGAATAACTACCAAAGTAGATAAGATTCAATCTTAAAGATTTGGAATCGTCGATCGTGGCATCCGCTCTAGTAAAAGCTTCGCATTTTCAAGTTTTTAAAATTTAAATGAATTACCAAAGTAGATAAACCTTTAACTCTTAGAAATAGTGAATGATCTAGAATGGCATTTTCATTTTTTGTTGTATTTTTTTTTATTAATTACCTAAGCAGATTTCAAGAAGTCAGAGATTTGGAATCGTGGCATACCTCTACAAAAACCTTTAAAATTGGGAAAAAAAAATAGCATATTTTGTATTGACATGTTCACTTTTTATTTTTATTTTTTTTAAAGAAACTTATCAAAAATTACATTTTTTAGATTATTATAAATAAGCTTAAAATTTTTTAAAACTTCATCCATACCCATTTTTTCTATCGTTTGTGTCTTTTTTTATTATTAAAATACCTCTCGCAGTGGTATTAGATATGTGAAAGCATCATGATCGACCGAAAACCATGATGCCCATAGTGGGTTCCAAGCTAATGCATCACAATACTTAAAGAAGTGTGATGGGTTTCACTTGAAGCACCACGGTTCTTAAAGAACCCTGATAGTCATTTGAAGCATCGCGGCATTTAAAGGATACTGATGCCTTCACATACCTAATACCTATGTGAAAGGTATTTTAGTTCGAAAAGTAGTGCAAAAGAATATGGATGAAGTTTTGAAAATTTTGAGATTTATTATTAATAATCTAAAAAAAATATATATTTTTTATAATTTTCCTTTCGCTAACTTCTAATGAATTTGCAAAGTAGATAAACCTTACAAATAGTGAAAATACCAAAAGAAATAAACCTTGACTTTCACAAATAGTGAAATATTTATAATCTAAACTTTGAGAAGCAAAAAATCTTTAAAAAAAAGAAGAAGGAAATTAGTCTTTGTTACGCGGACACGTGGAATTTTTAATATCAAAAAGAGAAAAAAGTGTCACCAATCAGTATCGATAAACCTTAAGTGTCGGAGTTTGCATTGAATTAAATGGTTCCACATGGACCTAAGAAACACGAACAGGTTGCTGATAAAGACGAGGTCAAGGTTCGAACCCACCTACACTGTACAAACTTGTGAACGTTTACCTACCAAACAAGTGGCTCCCCATTAACGCAAGGGCGGTTTTTTTTTGTAATAATAGAAATGACTTACGTTGACTAATTTTTGAGATGTTTATGCTGAGAAATTCAATGGAAACCTCACTCAAATTGCTCAAACGATACACAAAAATTAAGATTTTTGTTTTTTGTTTTATTTTTTTAGTAAACCTCACCACACAACTCATACAAATTGTGATTCATCTTCGCTTGAACATTATGGTTGTGAAAAAATTAGGATTTCGAATTTTAAAAATAATATATATTGCACCAAATCATCTAGACTGTCTATTTTGTCTTAAAAATAAGTGTTCACAAATGTGCAAGATTTAGAGTTCCAAAATTTATTATTGGTATCGAAAATTGATTTTAGAACCATCATGGATATTTTTTATGCGAAAAATGTTTTTCAAATGAGGATTTGAGGTGAAGCTCATTTTTTTTTCATAAAGCATAGGCTTTATAGAAACTTCATCCTTGTAAGAAAGAATAAGTTCATATAAGGATGCCGCCTTCGTAAAAAGAAAAAGGAGAGCTGCATCTCCGAAATCACTGTAAAAATTTGTTGAGGTCGAAAAGCCTCAAATTGATTATCTTAGCATGAGTACTTGTGGATTTAAGAAGCAAAATAAAAAAGATTTCAAATCCTAAATATGATTTGTATCTCTGTAACACATTGTCTAAACCATTTATAAATTTGCCGGATATGATCCAGATTTGGAGGTTTAAATTCTACAATAGGGTTAGAAACAGATTTTCAAGCTATGATACGGGCTTCTAGAACGGAATATCAATTTTCGTTGGTATTTGGAAGCCAAGCCCAAATTTTTACCATAAGCTTGCCGCCTTATATAAACCACACGAAAATAAGTGGTTAGTATATTCATAACTATAATTTATACGGTCCATAAACCCTTTTTTTTTTTTACATCATTCTAAGGGCAATAACAATAAAACAACTTTGCGTTAGGGGTGGCAATGGACCCAACCAAACCCGGGACCCGATGGATAGACCCGACTTTAGGTCTAGGTATGGGTCCAAATTTTGGATCCGAAAGGTCAGGTCCGGGTCTAGCCGGACCTGACCCAGACCCGATCCAAATAATATGGGTGTATGTGAGCATTCATAAATGTAGCCAATACGTTTGTTTCTTAGGAATTTCTAGTTATTACGCAAAATAGTAAGAAATGTGGGTATAAGTGGGTATTCATAAATGTTGTGCAATACCATAAATGTTGCCAATAATATGGGTATATGTTGATAAAGAAAAGGGTGCAATTGACATACGGATGCATCCGTAGCTGTAGAGGAAAGGTGCAGCTTCAAATTTTATCATGGTATATAATTTTGATGTAAAATGTTTTTAGGATTATCTCAAAATTTATTTTTGTATCTAATTATAAAATTTTAAATTTCAAAAATGGCTAAAATCAAGTAAATTTATAAACATATGAAAATCTTGAAAATTGACGGTGTAGATAATATGTTGTAAAATGCATTATTTCTGAGACTTAAAATCTTTTTATTTTTCCTGGTCATACCTCTCGCTGTTGAGATGATCAATCAAAGGGTTTTTCAACATTAAAACTACCTTTTTCGATGGATTTTTGGGATACATCGGTAGTTCTACATCGCGATATTCATTCGTGTAAAGGCTTTATACATCGTAATATTCGGTAGTGTGTGGGTAATGGCTACAATATCTCCTTTTGGCATCATAAATGGTTAGGGGACTGCCCATTGAAATTAAGTTTTCATTTGATTTATCATTTGATAACTAATCAAGAAGAAACTATTGCCGACATGGATAGTAATGTTGAGTGGAATATTACTCTGCCTTATAATAGAGTTTCTGATTTGGTTTTCTCTCAGTTTGCTGATCTTTATAGACTATTGAAAGATGTTTATATCCCGCATAATGCTTCTGATGAGGTAGTTTGGGAGATTGACAAAAATGGGATTTATTCAGTTAAATCTATATATCATTTACTCTACCATGATAGGGTGTCAATGATTTATACCTGAAACAGCTATCTTGTGGAAATAACCCCTACCTCTCAAAGTGCAAGGTTTTCTTGGGTTGGCGATTCAAAACAGCGTTCTCATGGTTGATAATCTGATTAAGAGAGGTAAAGTTTTACCGAATATATGTCTCATGTGCAAGGAAGACGAAGCAACTGGTGATCATCTCTTTCTCTATTGTCCGTTTGCCAGTCACATTTGGAGGTGGTTTTTTGACAAGCTTAGGGTGCATTGGTAATGCCACTGTCGGTGATTGGGGTTCTTCATAATCTTTCAGTTACTTTACCAAAGCCTGGGAGTGTTGTGTGGCAAATCTCTAGAGGTGTCATTCTGTGGGAGATTTGGAGAGAGAGAAATAGAAGAATGTTTGAAGGTATCTCTTTGCCAGTTGGAAAAGTTTTGGAGAAAATCTTGCATTCCATCTGGTTGCACCTCTCTATTACGAGTTGTGGACATAATATTTCTGAAGTGGATGTAAGATTTAATCTTTTTAACATTTCCCATTTGGGTTTCAAAGGTATGCCCAAAGGTAGATAAATGGTCTCACCTTTGGCGGTTTATAGGCTCAACTTTGATGACAGCTCATTGGGTAACTCGGGTATTGCTGGTTTTGAAGGGGTTCTTCGGGATTGGATAGGTAATGTGATCTTCTCCTATGCAGGGCCACTTGGGGTGCGGATTGCGAATTATGCAGAGATATTTGCCCTTCTCGTTGGCTTTCGTTCCTTTGTGGAGAGGAATTTGGGGATTTCTTACATTATTGAAAGATATTCCCTCAATGTTGTGAAATTGTGCAAAGTGGATCAAAAACTTCTTTTGGAGTTGAAATCTTTGTTATTTCAAATTTTGGATCTCGTCGTCTCCTTTTCCGTCTCTAGCTTATTCCCTGACGAAATGAAGTTCTACCATCTCTGAAACCGTTATTTTGGATTATGTAATCTCGTTTTAAATTAATAATATCTTTATCCTTAAGTAAACTTTATTCTAAACAAAAAGGTAAAACAAAGGGGTCGCAATGCAGCCCTACGTGGACCCGTACTTTGAGTGCGGCTACTTTGAGTGCAAGAATATAAAAAGTATGGTGTAAGATTTAGTCGTGAGTTCGAGTACAAACGATCATGTCAGGAATGTTCACTCGATACTTACAATTCATTTTTTTATGAGCGTTGAGTATGGTTTACATGAATCTGTTGTTACTCCAGCTTTCCAAAATCCATCTTGAAGATGAGCTTTGTATCCTAAAATTGATCGAAATACAGAACTCTAAAAGATGTAACCTCGACCACTCTGAATATAGAAGATCAAATGATTTTCGAGCCTAAAAAATAGTTCATTTTTTACTGCCATTCCTGGACCTTCATTTCAATTTTAAAAGATCACCAAAGTTTCACAGAGGTCCAAATTTATGGATCCGAGGCAAATGTCGGTTTCCAATATCACATTCTAGGTTATAAAACCCCTAAAAATAGGACAGCCAAAGTGACAAAAAAGTTTCAAAAAGGAAAATAAAATAAAGAGCAAAGGCTCCTCAGACTCACAAAAACTTATTTTTCCTATTTTTATTTAAAAAATATAATACTATGGTCACAACACAACCAAGATCATTGGACTTTTCATCTTCCAGTTGGTTGGACGGTGATGGAGAAATCGATAACTCTAGAGCACCTAGGACCTTATTTTCTTGGGTTTTACTTTTTTCATACAAAAGCATCATTGTACCACAACTGTTTTTTATGAAGCCTACAGCTCTCTCTCTCTCTCTCTCTCCAAATTGTTATGTTATGTAGATATTTACATAAGGGAACAATACAGTGAAACTACATGCATGTTATATGCACGCCAAAGCCCCAAGAGAAGTTACAAAACGAATATATACATAAATGGCATATCATAACAAAAATCACAACCTTCTACACTAAAAAAAAAAAAGAAAATAAGAAGAAAAAAACAACCTTCTGCAGTCAAAAGACAAACCAACGAAGACAACATGAACTTTTCAATGACTAAAACCAGAGAGAGGGACCCAGAGAGAGGATCTCTTTCATTGAAAGAGAGAGTAGAGAAAGCCACTCGCTCTTAATTCACTTCAGGAGATAGAGAAGTAAAGCACCTATAGTGTAAAGCAACTCAGAGAGAGAGAGGCACTCTCACTCTTAAGCACCTTAAAGTTTACAAGAGAGAGAGAGAGAGAAGGCAGTCCCCTCACGAAATAAAATGGAGGGTAGTTTCGTGGGCTTTTTCAGATACAGCAGCTTCACTGTGTATGATAAGCAAACCTAACAAATTATACCAAAAAAACGGAAGTGAGAAGGAAAGAAACCCTCAAACGAAAACCAATCAAGAAATTTTTTCTTAATCAAGATAAAATTTCTTCCAACGAGAGAAAGAGAGAGATGCGTAAGAACACCAAACCTAACAGATTACCGAAGAGAGAGAGATGTGTAGGAACACCAAACCTAACAAATCACCTAAAAGATACCTGACAAATCTATCAAGAAAGGGAAATGGAAAGGAACACAAAGCAAATCAATCAAGAAAGTGAGATGGAACCAATCAAGAGATACTTTTCTTCTAACTAGAGAGAGAGAGCGAGAAACACACACCCATGAAGAACCAATATTTCGGGTAGAGAGAGGGAGAGACTTCTCCTCAAGAGGCAATATTTCTTAGAGAGAGAGACCACAAAAAGAACTCCTGAAGAAGCAATATTTCTTAGAGAGAGAGAGAGACGTTCCGTCACAAAACCATGAAGAAGCAGCATCTTTTCCAGAGAAGCTACCAAAATCAACTGGTCGCTCTCAAGAGATCCTGACCGTCGATTTCATCCTGTAAAACCACCACGGCCATCGATCCTGGATCAGTTAGTTAATTAACGGCTCCCCCTATTGACCATCTCCACATAATGCTGATAAGACTCCTGTCTTTGCAGCCTAATATCGTCATTAACCTTCTTGATGAAGGCCTCAGCCCTGCGATTAAGCTCCTCTTGGCTCATCGACTTCTCTCTCTTGACAAACGTCTCCGACTTCTTAATCTGGCGCCGACTCGCCTGCCTCGGCTCCGGCTCCAGCTCCAGCTCCGGCTCTGGCACTAGCCCCTGCTCAGCGCGCTGGAGCCTTGGCCCCGTGTCCCACGTGTCACTCTTTTTAAGGTGGCGATTGAGCGGCTTGGACTTTCGCTCCATGATCGCGCGCCAAGTAGACTCCAGGGTCTCGTACTTGGGCTTCGGCTTTGTAACGCCGAACGATCTCGGCGGCTCCATTTTAACGGTTTTCCCGTAGAGGAAACGGCCGGAGAGCGACAGTTTCCAGTTATTTTCCGCCAGAATCGAGCTCTCAGGTATCGGGGCATTATCACCATGGGTGGTGGTATCTGGTTCTTCATTGTAGTTTAGCAGATACTCTCCATTAAAATCGAGGTCAGGTTCTTCGATGAAGTTTCGAAGAGAATGACCATTGCCAATGAGCTCTGGTTCTTCATTCTCAGAGACCTTTTGATCGAAGCCAATTCCGAGAGTCACTGGTTCTGGCTCTTCCTTGTAGCTTAGAGGAACATCGCCATTGTTGATGACCTCTGGCTCTTCTTTGTACTCCGTATCGCTTGGCTTATGTTGATCAGAAACCATCTCTTCTGCAACTTCTTTGCTCTCTGACCGATTTTTTTGAAAGCTCGAAGAAGCAGCAATAGTGATGATTATACAGTTTACTATGATGTAGAGGTAAGGTGGAGAGAGACACGCTCGAAAACAGAGCCATAAACCAGGAATGGAGGTCTGGAGAAATGAAGAGAGATTAGGAAGGGAAAGTTTCAAGAGAAGGAGAGTTGAGATGAACCCGATACAGAGGAAAATGAGCTTTAAGGCCCAGATCCATGTCCTTAGCTTGTTTTGAACTGATTTGATATTCATATTGGTCTTCAAAAACAGATTCGCTATATCAAAAGATGATTCAGTTTAAGATAGAGATATTCAAAAGGGAAGGAAATGAATTTACAGTGAACCTCCTTTTCAGATTATAAAGCCAAAGGAATATGATACCTCCAATTGAAGGACCTGCAACCTAAATATGTAATCAAGAACTTTAAAATAGGAAGTCTTGACTTTAAAGCAAAAAGGATGAGTAATTCGCAGCCTAAAGCTCAAATTCTTCAAATTCCTTTACAAAAACCAGGAATAGGAGATCTAAATTCAAGACATTTTTTCAAAAATTTGAACAAAGAAGGCCCTGTAATATCTTTCAAAACTTCACCGAAGGAAAAAAGTTTGCTTAATAACGGCATGTGATTAAGCCTTCTGGTACAATAGAAAGCCTATTTAAGACGTATAAGACAGCAACAAGCCGCCATTGCCGGACCTTAAAGCAACTAAATTCTCTGGAATTTCACAGTATTATCATCAATAAAACAGAGAACACAGGCTACAACTAGCTGTTCCCTCAAGTTCCACTGCGAAACAGAAAAAATCCCCTTTAAACAAGTAAAGAAATCATATACAGAGGCGCCATTACCAGACCTCTACACTTGCAAAGCTTTACGCCTCTGCAACTCTCACTGACTCCTTACAAAACACTAAAAACGACACAAATCGCTTTCGAAATAGCTGGACTCGATCAAAGGCCAACAAATACAGTCTTTAGAAACCCTAGAAAAAGACAAAGTACGGCCACTCGAAAAGGAAACCGCCATTAAAGGACCTTGGATCTCAAAAAACAACAAGTTGCAGCGCGGTGTACAAAAGAGTGGTGCTTTTGTCCCTTCAAATACCAATGAAGGCAGCGTTTGATCGAAGAAACCCCAGCCGTTGGATCGAGTGGAGCGCGAAAAATTAATCCGATTAAATGATCCTCTCGAGTCCGCCGCGCCATGAGTATAAATAAATCGACCATATATTTATACCTTCGGATTTTTTATTTGGAAAAAGGATTTTCTTCGCTTTTTTTGCCCTTTTTTAATATTATTTTTTATTATTTGGTTTTAATATTGTTTTGTTTTTCTTATTTTTATATTTTTTACAATTTTTGTTCATCGTATTTTTTTTTGTCCATATTGCCACGTGGCAAACGGAAAGGAGTCGGGAATCCGGGGGCAATGTGGTTTAAATGGGGTCCGCGTTAGATAAGCCTCGAGAGCGTCTTCTTATGTAGTGAGAATTTCTTTTCAGGAAATTACGAGAATGACCCTACGGTGAGAAAATTTACTATAATGCCCTTGCACTTTTTGAATATCCCTCTTCATTCTCCTCGGTAGCTTGGTTGGGTTGGTTCACAGTATTAAAACTTCGTAATCTAGATCAGGCTTAGCTGATCTAGATCAGAATTAGTTGATCTGGATTGAAAATCAGTTGGGCTTATCTGAATCCTATTAAATATCGGGAAACAGATGGTTCCTTCATGAAACAGTTGGTTCTAGCCAGGTTTGTCAGATAACCAATCCCACTATATTTTTTACAATTTTTCATTCCTTAATTTTTTTTATAGGCCAGATCACCCATTCGGAACGCCAACCTGCAGATCCAGAATGGTTTTATAAAGGGGCGATCAGGTCCCTGAATTGTGTTTTAAAACCTTGATTGGGTCTAAAGCACATATACGTTTTGGTCAAAATTAATGTTTAATTAGATGGTTTCAACAGGCTATAATTGGTTAATTGTAAGATATTTCATATTTTTAAATTAATATTTATATTTTTTATTTTATTGAATTTTAATTCAACCAAAACCAATTTTGACTTGATGAAACCTTTTTCTAGTTTAGAATTACGCTGTTATTTCATATTCTGATAATACTTATATCTCTTTGCAACATTACTTTGGGTATTTTTTTTCTTGGTTTAATATAGAAGGTATACACTCACAAATTCAAGAGTCAAGTTCCCATGTTCAAACCCCCATAACTCAGCAATAAAAGATTTTGAGTGGATATAATATGCGCCCAGCGGAACAATATGTCAATTTGCTCCCTTGGGAAGAGATATTTATTGAGAATTTTTTTGAATTTTATTGTCCATTTAAAAAACATCTTTTTATTCTCAAAAAGAAAGTTAGGTCTTGGACCTTTTAACACTTGGATTTTGATGTCCAAAAATTAGACTTTGGACGTTCTTTGGGACATTATTTTTTCAGGCTCATATGCTTTTCTTTGGGGGAAATTTTTTTTTTTTTGTTGTTTACAGGTTGGGAAGGATATTATCCACAAAAATTGGTTTCTTAAAGATACCTTTAGCTTTGTTTTTGCATGAGGGAGCAAATGAACATTATGCTTCCTACGGTAGCAAAAAATCATTTGGCCAAGATTTTTGTTTCTATTGTTTTATTAAGATATCTAAAAAACGCCAGGTTGGTATAGAATCGTTCGGTCCGACTTGAGAATCACTCACTCCGTACTAATTCTATAAATATATAAGAAATCGTTTAGGTCTAGAAGAGAACCGGCGATTTGCTACAGTAAAATGGCGTGTATTTTGCTATACTAAAAACGGTGATTAAGTGATCTAGATCGGTTTTTCACTAGTTCATTATTTTTGCACATGTTTTTTCACATATTCATTGTTTTTTTCGCACAATGAAACGGCGATCGGGACAGCCAATTCACTGATACGGACCAATTTTGTGATGCCCAATCTAGTTAATGACCTACTTTTTAAAACACTAGTTTCATTTGAACAGTGAAACACAATTATAAACCAGAAGGAAAAAAAAAAAAAAAAAGGAAAAGAAAGAACAAAAGGAAGCCCTTTTGGCAATGGACAAAGAAGGCGCGTTAAACATTAAAATGTGATCTCTCTCACCCAGGCCACGCTTGTGAGATAGCACCATCATGAGCACATGCTTGATGAGCAAGCTAGACCCCATATACTTCTTTTTCTTTCTCTTTCTCGCTCATACTTAGATTATACGATGTGATGACCCTTTTTTTTCTTTTCCTTTTCTCTCTCTTTCTAACCCCTCTCTCATTCGATATTATATCTGGTAAGAACCCTTTTTTGTTCTTTTTCTTTTCTCTCTATATTTCTCTTTCTTTTTTAAAAGTGTCATTTTTTCTTTTCTTTTTTTTTGAGTAATTTAGTGAAATTTTGACCTATCATACTACCACATGGCCATCTCACAACCGTTGCTTGATAAGAGCGATCATGTAGGGATGATAGAGCCCGTGAGACCCAGAGCGGGTATTCACGCTCTGGCCACGTGGCTTTGCGTCATCTTCTAAATTGTCGTGCATGTCTCCATTGTGTCAATGGAAACAGATGCACAACCTATAGAACAGATTTTGTTAAGTAAGGTCACAATTTTATGAGATGCCACTGTTTGACGCTCTAGGCCTACAAACTTTATTTCTCTTCTTGCACTTCATAATATTGTATAATTTTCTTATAGTAAGGCTGTAAAATAATGAGGTGTAATATGTTTTTATTTCTATTAATGAAAAATGGTTAGGGGGCATTTCCCCCCATGATTTACCCCAAAAAAATATTTCTCTTTCTTTCTTATTCTAGATTATCAAATGAGAGCTTTTTCTTTCTTTCATTTTCTCTCTATTTCTCTGTCTCAAGCTAGTGTTGGAGATTACTACCTTTGTGTTGCTTAGTTGGGCTGGGCAATTGGGCCCAATTTCAATCGGTTGCTCCCCCTTTCAAGGACTAAATTAAAGGAGTGGTTGCGCCTTTCACATATTAAAAAACTCTTTTTAGTGGGGTTGCTTTGAAAGTTGCTAAACCCCACTAGCATGAGCACTAACACCCCACCCCACATGAAAGAAGGGGATAAATACGATTATTTGAGGCATATTATTTGAGAAATCTTAAAAAAGTTTTTTAAGTGACGTTGGGGTCTCTAGAATGGGATATTAAAAATGAACATAGTCATAATTCATACATAGTCATGGTTATAATTTATTGGGCAGGATTTAGGTGTGCCAAGGGGGTGCACATATTGTAGTGTGTCCTGCCTTACAAAATCTATCTCCGAGATGGATTTTTGAAGCTAAAATTTTACAAACCTATTGTCTCAAGTGCCTTGTCTGTCATCTTAACCACCACAATCATGGATTTGAAAAAATTAAAAATTTGAGTTTTAAAATAGTTTATCTTGTACTTTTTTTAAAATATTGTTTAGTTCAATTATTCGATGAGCAATAAATATATACTATTTTTGGGGCTCGAAATTCATGAAATGCAAAGAGCATAAACAAATATGCAACGGTTTGGAGTGTGTTCCAGGTTCTAAAACTCTTAAGAACCAAGGTGGACGCATAAGTAGGTGGGCACACAAAAAGACTTTCCTCTTTTATTTATCAAAAGTATTAGAGAAAAAAGAAAAAACAGATTGGATATGCTAAAAAATTGGAATAATATATCTGCCCATGAGCCACAGCCATTTGAATTTCAAAAAATTAGACCATATCAAATGTAGTTTATTGCTGGTACACTTTTTCACTTTTATTTGCAGGGTTGCACACTTTAACGTATAATATGATTGTACGTTATCAAAATATATACTTTCTCTAATACTGTTAGTCAAATGTTTTCCACTAAGGGCTTGTATTAAGGGCATTTAGATCATTTATTTAATGAGTATGGTTTGTGTAAAGCCAAGGCCCTAAACAATCAAAGTAAGGCACACTTTTAAATAGTGTCAAAATATATTATTTAAGTATAAAATATCCTTTTGATGACCTGAAAATTCATTTTCATTTTTAATTGTAAATTTTAAAAATTAAAAAATAGTGTAGATCAAGCAGATTATGAGCACGTGAAAATCTTGAAAATTAAGGGTCTAAATAATACATTGCAAAATGCAATATTTTCTGGACTTAAAATCTATTTTTTTTCATGTCTATATATCTTGAGGTCGAGATGATAGTTTTTTAGCATAAAGAAAAGAAAAAACCTCTTCCAATGAATTTATGAGGCGCGCCTTAATTTGATGGTTTAAGGCTTCACCCTTATATAAACTTTTTCCTTTAATATAATGGGGGACAATATGGGGGTCTTTGAATTAGGGCCATTATGGTTATTTTCCTTGATATGTAAAGTTGGGTTTAAATCCAAACTTTAAAAGTGAACACACTTTTGGTGGTATCTCAAGGGGCCACCACCTTTCTCCCTCATTTCGGGTGAGATCATGTATGCTTACGAAATATCAATGAACCGTCATTTTTGTACAGAGAGATAACGTTGCGTAATCCACAAGCAAAAGACCAAGAAAAACCAAGCCTTACTGTTGTAGTGGCCTAACCTAATGAAAGGTTGGGTTGTCCAGGCCCGGGCTGGGCCAGGAATCTCTTAGATAGCCCAGTTGTTTTTTGGTCTGACCGATGGCTGGTCTGGGCCTGAAAATTAAACAAATAAAAAATTGCAGCCTAGGCTTAGCCCGAATTATCATTGAGACTTGAGCCATGCCTAGCTCGGTCACAATTTGGATTGATACCAGTATTATCAAGTGTTATCAAAATTAGACTGGCCACTAAACTGGTGAGGCGTTTAATCTAGTCAAAACTGATTCGGTGGGACAATTTAATTCGATCAAAATTTAATAAATAAAAAAATAAAAGAAATAATTTAATAATATAAAATATATTACAAAAACATTATCGAGCTTTATTACCCATCAAATTGGTCAAATCCGACTAGTTTGACTAGCAAAAACTGGTAAAATATTGGTTCTAACATATTTTCAACCAAACCCCTTTTTTTTGCTATGGAGTTTGGACTAGATCGGCAAGACACCGATCAACATTCAACTAGTTGGACGGCTAGTATGGTATGATTTTATTTTATTTTTATTTTTTTGGATAATTCAACGGAGAAGACAAACCCCCGCCCGTTTTTTCAAATAGTTTAAGAGTTAGCTTTTCAAAATGGGTTATTGAGGTGATATAATTGGGAATAGAAACCACTAAGTGATAACTACAAGGTGTTATTGGGGTGATATCATTGGGAATGGAAACCACTAAGTGATAACTACAAGGAGGTGCTACTACAACAACCCCAGCACCTATCCCAATATGGTCCGATCTTCATAAGTATATGGTGAAAATGCATTAGGCTCAAGCACATTTTTGGTGATGTAAATTTATATCCCATAAAAACAAATATTAATGTATGGATCTGATTTATATATGGCAGCAACCTTACTTATAGGTTGCAAGGTTCTATACTATCTATTTTAGTTTGACAAAATAAATTTAACATGTCTTTTTAATACAATAAATAAAAAAAACTATACTTGAGACAACATCAACTCTACACTATTCAAAATAAAATAGACATCATAGATTAATACAACCTTTTAAGTAAGGTAACATCCTTATTTATACTTTTTCCTTCATTTATATTATATCAATTTTTGGCTGGGACCAGGCCCGAAAGCTATTCATCCTTTAGGATGCCTAACCCAGGCCCGGCCCAGAACCCCAGCCTGGTTCTTCGAAACTCATCTTTATTCTTTTTGTTTTTATGACAGGTACTACACTTCTTGTTTCCTTGGCCATAAGATATTTAAGGTATATAGAGAGTAAGAAATGGAGACCACCACTCGAATTCATTGCAAACAAGATTTCTAAGAAATTTGATTATTTTATATCCGTGGAGGAAACCATGGTGAGAGAGAGAGAGTTAGTTCATGATATTATATTTAAAAATCTTGATCAGAGAGAGAGAGAGAGAGAGAGAGAGAGAGAGAGAGCTAATGTTCAAGGCATCTTGAGCAAAAGGAGGCAGAGACAAGTAAGCAATAATTAGAACATAGAAACTAACGCAAAACTATTGGACCAAGTGGCATTAATGTTGCCTTAATTACCAAGGAAAACTACAGTTTAATGCAGTGGAAGATGCCTTAGCCACTTAGTCCTCGTTAGTTGGGGAACAACCACGCAAACAGGCCTATACAAGCTTACCTGCTCAATCTGGACCGTCCACCAAATCGAATTGGTGATAATCTGAACCCTCCCATTTAAGTATAGGAGACCCCAAAATATTATAAATGTAACTTAGAATTGTAAACATGAGATAGAGAGAGGTCAACAAGTAGAACCAACTCTATTATTGATTAATATGCAACCCCAACTGCTTACAAACAATATAAAATAATCACAAGACTATCAACAGCAACACCAATGGCTAAATTCAATAATTTGAGAGAGAGAGAGAGAGAGAGCAACACTGCCACCAACAACAACAAATGCTCAATTGAATACTTTAGGGGGGAGAGAGACTAGGGTTTCGAGAAGAATCCTTGCGTTAGTGATGAGAAATCATACTCATAGGGGAGCCAGGAGGAAGTGGCTGAAGCACTGGTTTTGCTTTGCAGAGGAGCACCGGAAATGGTCACTCCATTCGTTTTAGCAGATGAGATTTTAGCTGTAGTGTAAGTGCTGCACAAGGAAGTAACAAGTGCACCTCAGAATGCAGAGAGAGAGAGAGAGAGAGAGAGGTTGCTCTCTTTACAGAAGTATTATCAGCTGCAAAAAACGGCATAGTTCTATAATAACAATGGCAATTAGGCCTGTTTCTTAAAACATCTGAATTATTGAAAAAAATAGCAGGAAAAAAGTAGTAATACAGCTAAATAGACTTAGCAAAAAGTATTACGATATCCAACTTGAAAAAATAATCAAAACACATAATCAGTATACCTTGAGGATATTGTTGGGCTCGCATTGTTCAACGGAAATGATCGCCTCATGTTGGCTACCTGTCAGGGTTTGAACACACAGTAGAACACCCATAAGGAGTTTATTTTATCTATAGAAACCACATAGCATATTCCTGCAGGTGCACTCTATTCACTTAGTCCCGAAAGCAAAGACCTGCATAGGAGTATTTTCTTAATCTATAATTTTGGTATCCATCTTAAAACAACTAGATGCTTATTTCCAAAAAATAAAAATAAAAATAAAAACAAAATGAAAACTCTTAGTGTCTTACCCGAGGGAGTAAATATAATCTTCTAGCTTATTTATAGACAGGCAGGAAATCAAATTGTTTAAGAGACGATGAGCAAACTCTCAAAAAGGATGATTAATGAGAGTTTGATTAAGGCATGGAGTTAGAAAGCCGTATGATAGGTGGTAACCATCTTGTACGGTTCGGGGGGTAATCGGCATACTCCGGTGGGGGGGAATATTTGGCACTACCTAACATACGGGGAATTGGAGGTAGCATTCCACCAATGTCATGGAGCGGTTCCTCCATCCCTATTTCTCTGTGTTGGTATTTTATATGACCCACATGGGTCATGTAAATCACACAAAAACATGTCTGACCTTAACGTTGGTAAAAGCTAACAAACTTAAGATCATGTGTGTGGCGGTCACCAAAATCCCCTAACAAAACCCCCAAACAGCACAAAACTACCCTTCCCATATGGTTGACTCTTTCCATAATAGTGAACTTGATCTTTCATATGACCAATATAGAGATTTACACACCAGAATATGTTGGAAGGTGGTGTCATACTGATACCATCAAATAACTGTCCTCATCCATGGAAAAGTTCAATTGTGTTCCTAAGAAATAACCAAGATCACCCTGCTGAAAGAATATGTCTAGTGCAAGAGGTATTTTTCGTCATAATGGGATTGCTAACTTTGAAGGGGTTATCCTAGAGTTAATTCAGGATTTTAATGGTTTTAAGGCCATGTAAAGCCCCTTTCAATCACATACACACATGCACCCGCACGCGCCCATACACACACACACACACATACAGGGAGGGAGAGAGAGAAACACTGAGCTTGCACGTGCAGAGAAAAGAAAGGTGGGTTCTCAGGCACATGGAATTTATGGCAAGAGCCTAAAACAATAACAAATGTTATTCGATAAAAGGAAAAGAATATGAAGATGAACAGTACCTGATCAGTCCCCTGAGTAGCTGCTATTCCAACACCAGAAGCTTGAAAACTTGTATTTCTCCAGTTATTGCCAGGGTTTATTGAAGAGCGATTTGAATCAAGATTGTGGGTTTTCAACGGCAATGATGAACCCTGAATACTCGATGATGTAGAGGCGGAAGCCACAAATATGGGTTGTTGATGGGTAAGGGAAGCTAATTGTTGTTGATGTATGGAGTATGGAGAAGCCATGTTGGACTATAGAACAGAACAAATAGCAGTTAGTAAATAGCAAGAGCTAATAGATCCCAAACTTTTTCAACTGAAGCAAGTATAATTTTCCAAACAACCAGAACGACCTACTATGGGTTAGAATATGCTCATCTTGTCTTCCCTTTTTTTTTTTCTTTTTTTTATTATAAACAGTGTAATAAATTGGGAAAAGGCTAAAATGATGATGATGATGATAAACAGTGTAATAAATTAGCAGTTTATCATTCCTTTAGATTCCTGATAATAGGATCCGTAGAACATACGGCAACTGCAAGCTTATAGAGAGGCAAGTAGACCATATATATAAAACAAGTTGGCCAGATCTTTACATTAGCATTTGTACTCCACACTAAATGTTTAAATTTCAAACCTAAAATTTCAAATGGAGAAAAATAACATATATTACTCAGGTATGGTACTATGGTGTATGGTACATCATCAGGGCATCCATGGTAGTTCCCAGACATACATAAGTGGCGCACGGAATCCTTGCCCTTTTCAAACTCAAAATTTGTGTAAAATTAAATATACAATGTATTAGATTAAAAATTAAGCAATTAAGAATTCATTTTTTTTATTATACCATCTAACTCTTTTACCTTTTAAGCTAGATAATACATTTTACAAAAAGAAAATTTACTTATTTATTTATTTTCTAATTTAGCAGTAAACACCTGGTAGAGGCACCTTGTTAGTATTACATTTGATACTATCACAGTAAATATTACTAAGATTACAAATTTCACCTTTGCTACATGTGGTGTTTGTTTGAATAGATTCCCTAGTCCAGATGCGGAAGTGTCCCTAGTTTGGACTGGTTTTGCGGGATCCTCTCTTTCGGCTGCCTCCATACTTTCTGCAGCTGCAAATTTTGAATTCAGATGCAGTACATGCGCTACATCAGCTGCTTATACTTCAGAATATTTGGGCAAATATCACATTAAAATTTCAATAAAAAAAATATACTAGAGAGAAGAAATTCATTATTTCTAAGTTTCAGCTTTATCGATGAACTCAACCCAAATCCCTTTTTTTTTTTTGGTTCTCCAAACAACTGATGTTGGGCATATCTAAAGTGGGTAAAGCAATTTTTGGAACATAAAAAGACTAACACATTTCAGACATCAGATGATTACAGAAAGGATAGCAGGAAAATGTAAAGAAAAAAAAGAACTAGGCATTCTTACACTGAATATTTGCAGGAGCATTATCCCCTGAAGGAACTGAACTGCCAATTTTCTCTTCTGGGCCTTGCATACAGAGCATATTAAAAAGTTCCGTAGCTAAGTCAACCTTCTGTGAAGGAGCTTTTGGTATGTTATCCACTGCTTGTGGTGTGTCCTTGGAATTTGAGATTGTTGCCGTCTTTGGAATTGATGATTTGAGATCCACTGATGGCATAGAATCATTCGAATGTGAGATTGTCCGTTCTGTCTTTGGAATTGATGACTTGAGATCCACTGATGGTGGTGGACCGTTGGTATTTGGGACTGTTTCCTCTTTCTTTGGAACTGATAAAACCTGCTAGAATGTGTATGTGAAATAGTGAATAAGAATTTTATCAATCTCAAAGGAAAAAAGAATACCACTTACAGAGAAACAAGTGTAACCCAATGCAACCATCAACCTCATTACCAGTTCAGGATTTTTAGGAGTTCCAGAAGCTTGTTCCATATGGGTTTTCTTATTAAGGACCTCTGCATTCATTGATAAGTTCCCTGAGCTGTTATTGCTCCCATGGTTGCTGCCTCTTTCATTCCGCCTTTGCTTCAAGGGAGAAGTTTTTTCTTCTTGTGACATGAGGTTGATCTTGTTAAGGACTTCTCCTTCAAGCGACAAGCTCTCTAAGCTGTTATTGCTCCCATAGCTGCTGCCTCTTTCACTACGTCTCTGCTTGAAGGGAGAACTCCTTTCTTCTTGTGTTTTCCTTGTCACCCACCTTTTATCCACGTACCTGAATTATACCCACAACTTAGTATGGACAAGAAAAAACATGCATATTCCCTTGGGTAAAGCATGGAGTAATTGAATGGACTATGAAAATCATAGTCCGTTGAGGCTGTCACTGTCCATCATTGGTGGTAATGGAGAAGGAGAACACCCACCAAATGGGTCATGTCTGATTGTTTGACTCTCTCCATCACCATCCATTGGGCAATGGTATATTTTCCCTAGAATAGGATAACCACCAAAGTGCATAAAGCACCAACTGCTAGCATACTTTGCACGGATGAAATTTTCGATGCCGACTTGATTATAATTTGGTGGCAATTCTGCTTCCCAATATCTATTGGACTTATCATTGCCCATGCCTGTAAATAAGATTACAAAATAATTAGATCGAATGCATAGGAACAAGCAACTCTTTAAAAACTAAACAATTCACATTGGCAGCAAATCATAGTAGTCAAGAGAAAATGATGATGAATATCATACTCTGAATGAATGCAACCTGCTCAGGGAGCCATGTATCTAGTGTAGCAGACCTGACCTGCAATATGCATGAGTGATTCATCGAATTAACAAAGTCAAATGAGATAGCAAACACTCAAACTATTATGTGCGTTTTGGGCATGTATGAAAGGAGAGAAATGTAGGATCTTTCAGGAGAAGATGGGGAGATGGGAACATGGTAGCTGGTTATTCTTGGGCCTTGGTAAAAACTACATATAAGGAATTGAAGTCAATAAATTCCTTCTAAGTTGGAAGCGATGGGGGATGAATGGATGGAAATACAGCGAAAAGAGAGGTAGTAATAAAAATGCATTGAAATCAAAATATCCAACTTCATTGATATTTTACATAGAATTTCCTGAGGAACAAAATAAGCATGAAACGGAAAACTTCAGAACATCAAACAACAGTCGAAAGATAGACATGTATACAACTGTAAGATGGCACTGATAAATGGCTTTATAAGGCAAAATATCGATATAAAAAAAAAAATTGAGGCAAAAATATCAATATAAAAAAAAAAATTATCCAAAGCCTCTGAACATTAGTTTTCCAAAAAACAATAAATTAAAAAGATATTACATTCCACACAAATCAAACACCTAACCCACAATAACTGTCTTTTCGCCCCTGAAGCCTGGTAGCATGAAGCTCTTGCCTCAACGTCTAGGTTTCAAGTAGGAACTCTAATCTTACCAACTTTTCACTAACAAAAGCTAAAAAGGTCCTGATAACGATGTGTTAACTGGCTGGCAAGCATAACGACCTCGAAGCACAAAAATATACTGGCCCCACATATGTATGCATTAAAAGATGTTCACTATGGCTCAATAAACAAGAAAAGACGGGAAAAATTGAATTTACCTTGGATATATGCACACCAAGACCTCGATGAACTCCTGAGCATTGCATGCAAATAAAGATCCCAAGGTTAACACTTGCCCATCGTGGAGCCCTGTTGCGTATAAACAATGTTTAGTTGAAATATGGTAATTTCAAAAAAAAATTCAAAACATCTATGCATAATAATAAAAAAAAATTCAAAAACATTATCAAAAAAAAATTCAAAACATCTATGCATAATAATCAACTCCAACACCCATAAGCTCAAGAATACAGAAACACGAGCATGATATGCTGCCAATGTTTCAAACTGACAACCCATGTAGCAGTAAATAAAAATCCACAAGTATAGCATCAAAATAGCACTAGATCAACGAAATCTAAGGTCTTTCTTTGAAAGTTTTTCTTAGTCATTTACATTTAAAATTACCACGAAATGCACAGTATGCCTCTTGAATTTCTTTTGACATTTCCATAGCCGGATATAAATAGCAAGGCACACCTTACTTAAAGCTTAATATTAAAAACCATAAGTTCATGAAATACTCATTTTAATTTAGAGAATTTTGTAGGGAGGTAAGTGGAACTCAAAAGACAAATTTTTTATTATTTTTCACTGATTAACTATCAGCAAAAAATAAAAGTATACAATGGATTGCCTAAGAATAGTCAAAGGCATTGGTTTTTAGGGTACCCACTTGCTTTTACAGTCAGCACACTCTCTGTTCTCTGGCAATTTAAGAAGACCTTCCAATATCTGTAAGCCAATACATGCAAGAAGAATACAGCAACCAACTTAAGCCATGATTATATTTTCTAAAAAGAGTAACTGAGCAAAAACAAATTCAAATTTGTCGGGGCAAATTCTGTTCAGTTAGGCTAATCAATCAACAAAGGAAAGTTCAAAAGAAAAATAATAAAAATAGCTTAAAAAAGAATTATTAAAAAGCCTGGAGTATAATGATATATCAGATAGAAAGCCCATTAAACCATAACACTATGACTCATCAAAACCTCAAGTACAAAATTCTGAGAAGCCCCAAAAAGATAAAAGACATCATTTAATACATAGAAACAGAATTCCCACTAATAATTTTGAAACAAAAATTTTTAAAACACAACAAATGAAGATACACTATTTAAAGATTTTGGGAAAAATTTATTCAAATACACCTAACTTATCAACTATTTAATATTTTATTCTTTTTCAACTGTTCAAAGTAAAATCATGATCATGTCTCTTTCAATATGATTTTTAAAATTAAATCAAAAGATATGGGTAAAATGTTATATAGTTCATCTCTTACATGCATTTTGATGTGCGATTATATATTATAAAACCATTTATCTTTGTTAAATGCAGGTCACAATTACTCCTAGCTATTAGATGTTAAATTTGACAGTTTGGGGTATGTCATGAAGATCGAGAAATCTTTTTTGGAACTTTGAGTCGAGTCAATGGCACTCTTACAACCACCTAATTTGAAATCTGATGGACAAGAGTGAATGTGACATCCTTGTACGAAAAGTAAATGGTCTCGATGTATACTTTTCCTTTTGATTCTCCCTGAAAATTAACTGAATTTTCTTGGGCTAGATGACTGAATTTCCAACTCTCTCTCGCTCTCAAACAGATGTTGTGACTTCCAAATCTCATCAATCAAAACAACAAAGGTGTACATAAAAACCGAATGAGGAAACCTGAATTCTGCCTGATTCAGTATCAAAATCCATTCCAATTCATAAATGAAATACTTACTCATAGACATCGTGATCATAGCTCCATTAAAAAACCTTTATTTAGCCTTATTGAATATAACCATTTCAGTCAACAAAAAAATTAACCACAGAAATCCATTAAAATGCCAATCAATTATCATAAAATCAACTTCTTATAGGCAAAATGACATAATGAATCATAAAAATCATAATACTCATTGAAAACGGAAGACCCCAACAACGAAAAATTGATGGGAAGGTGAAAAAATTAACAAAATCATAATTAAAAAACTATATATACTAATTCAAAACCCAAAAAACTAAGATAAAATAAGAAAAGAAAACAAGGGGAGAAAGTTTTAATGGGAAATCATAAATCATAACAATTGGGAGCGCAAAATGAGTAAACGATTGAGGCGGCTAAGATGAAATACCCTTTTGTGCTTTTCATTAAGCTCCTTTGAGACGGACGCCTTCCCGTTCATCCTTGCCTAAATTTCAAACAACTCTCTCTCTCTCTAAAATTCTCTTTCTCGCTCTATAACTCTCTACCCCTGCCTGTGAACAGGAAGAATTGAAATGAAGTAGAGGACTGGGAGAAGGTCACCACAACACAACCCTCCTGCCTCTTTTGAAATGGAAATGGAAATTCAATACGCAATTGGGTGTAAGAAATTTTGTCTTAGACTTGAGGAGAGAGAGAGAGAAATGGGTTTATTTGAAATGGATTGAAACCGAAAGAGAGAGATGGATGGAAACAATCAATCTAAAGGCTCACCAGAAAAATTCACTATGTTTCGATGCTGAAACCCCAAATCCGATCATCTCGAAATAAATGGACTTCAAGTATTAAAAAGGGAAAAAGTTTATATAAGGTTGCAACCTTGAAACGTAGAATTACATAAGCGCCTAAAAAATTCATCGAAAAAGTTCGTTTTAATGTTGAAAAACGCTATAATTCATTATCCCGACATCGAGATTAATGAATATGAAAAAAATAAGATTTTGAGTGGCAAAAATAGAGCATATTGTAACATACTATCTAGTAGAAAGTTTGATTTCAAAATTTTCATGTCTGTAGATTTAATTGATTTCAACTATATTTAAAGTTTAAAATTTTATAATTAAATATGAGAATAGATTTTCAGATAATCCTAATAATTTTTTACACCAAAATTACATATTATGATAACATTTGGAAGTGCACCTTAATTGTATTGTTTAAGGTTACAACATTATAGAAACTACACCCATTAAAATTAGATCCGCCTAATAATAAAGAAAAAAGTTTATATAGAGTCTAAGCTCTAAACAACCAAATTAGAGCCTACCATGAAAGAAAAAAAAGGATTTCAAAGTTTTCAAAATAGTACCTGTTGTAATTGATTTTTGGACGGTCAATTTTCACGATTTTCATGTTTTCATAAATCCAATCGATCTGCACTATTTTTTAAGCTTTAAAATATATAACTAAAGACAAAAATATAAATTAAGGCTATCACAAAACCTTTTAGTATTGAAACCATACTTTTTCTTGATACTATTTGAAGGTAGGCTTTAATTTGATTGTTTAGAACCTCAGCTCTACACAAACTTCACCCAAGGGTAAATAGACTTCAAGTCTTAAAAATAGTGCATCTTGTAATGTATTATCTAGATTGTCAATTTTTTATATTTTCAAATGTTCATAAATCTACTTGATTTACATTATTTTTAAAACTTTTAATTTTATAATTAAAGATAAAAATAATTTTTATAAAAAAATTAATATTGAAATAATATATTTTGATACTATTTGAAAGTGCGCCTTACTTTAAATGTTTAAAGCCTCAACCTTATACAAACCAGACCCTTTTTTAATTATAAGGAGAGAGAGAGAGAATTGGTTCCGTGCTTGGCAGGTGTGTCTATGCTCGATATTCTCTCTTGCAGGAGAAGGCAAAGCAAACAAGGAGGGAAATGTTTAAGCCAAGAGATTTCATGATCCTGCAGAAGTGTACTGTTTACCCTTCACAAAACTTAATTTAGGAATAATTTTAGAATTTCAAATTTTTGGACTACAAAACTAATTCTAAATCGCACTCCTTAAACATAAGAAAAATAATGGCTCAAGATTGAAAAGAGACAATCCAATTTTTAGAGGGTGAGATCTAAATATTAAAAACTAAAATTTTTTCTTTTGAAAATAATCGTTGAATAATTCAAGTGGTTCTCAAATTTTCAGATTGAAAAAATCCTCCCATATTTTACTGAAGGAGCAGGTAGGTTTATATTATTGACTGAAGGAGCAGGTGTATGTTAACTTACTCTAGATGCATTTATGTTTCACATTCATCATTTGACAGTTTAAAAGATATTTGGTCTATGAAGAATCAAAATGAACAGTATGAGTGCTCTAGATACATTATAGAATAGTCTTATTTTAAAGTTCAAAATATGATCATGGCGCTTGAGATTCTATACCTACATTTTTAGGCTAAATACCCATCTCTGAAATAGATTTTTAAATGAGACCACATTTGAATGGGTTACCAACATTAAGGTGCAAAATATGCTTGAGATTTTTAACCTACATTTTGAGGCCAAAATCCATCTTTAAAATAGATTTTTAAATGAGACCACATTTGAATAGGTTACCAAAATCCTCTTGAATAAAATATATCATTAAAATGGATAACTATCCCAAAAAATCTACAAGACCTTTAAACTTTTGACACAAGAATGTCACAATACACACGTGAAATTAGGTAGTTAAAGGTATTCTTTCTCGGCCTAAGTTTGAAATTTGACATTTGCAACTATGAACATGGTCAATCAAGGGCACAACCACATTTCACACATGACTGCTACGAGTTATTGTCATGTTTTAGTTATTTAGCCCCAATGGCCCAAGCCAAATAGCATATGTACGCTTTTTTTTTGGGGTTTTGTTTTGAGTTTTGAAATGAAAACAAGCACCAGTATTTTTTTTTTATGCTACCCCTACCGCATAAAACTTATATACTTCCCCTATCCAAACTTATATATTCTTCTCTTAAACTTGCACTTGTAAAATATATATATATAAAGTATTCCAAATGAAATAAAATGACCTAAATACCTTTAAAAGTTTCAAGAAGTATTTTGATCATCATATTTTATCAAAAAAGATGTTTTAACTCACTGAGTAGATGGCACTTACTAAATTTCATTTTCAAACAATTTGTAACCAAAAAAAATAGTAAAAATAAAATACTATGAGGCATCGGATCTAGAACAAACAGTCAACAACTCACTTGATCTAAATTGGACAGCTAGATGGAGAGAAGGTATAGAATTTTTATGTTGTAGGAGAAGTATAGAAACCTTTATATCATTGAGCTCAAATGCCTTAAGCCAAATAACAGAAGTACCCCCTTTTCTAGATTTTAAACCATAATACAATTCTCTTTACTAAAATCGCTTTTGTTGGATTTGGAATCCAACACAATCAAGGGTACTTTGATAATTTTCTCCCACTTGTCATTGTCCAAATTACAAAAGTTCTACTATTTAGTGTACCACCCAAAAACCAGTATATTTTTAACAAAATGGTTGATAAAATTACTCCTTTAAAATATATTTTTTTAAAAATATAGGGAAATTTATCAAAATACACTATTTATTTTGAATTATTTATCTTCTTCCCATACTTTTTATCTATTTTTAAATTATCCATCATTCTTGTGATACAATTTCAAATAACTTATCAAATGACATCATTATCATTATGATAATCATCTTAACTTTATCCCAACTGTTTAGAATCAACTACACAAATCTTGCTCCGCCATTCCACTCAATCAAAAGACACATCCTTGATCAGACCACGAGTCACAATATTCTCATCAAATGAGATTTCAAAATAGATTTTAAAACTTATCAAAACATACCTAAGATAAATTGTTAAATAGTTCAAATGCGATGCGTATGTCTCTTGATTAAGCCACCTGTGTGCATTTTGAGGTGATTTGACCAATTGATTAATATTTTCCCCATAATTTTCGTTGTTAGGATTTTTCCTTATTAATTAAGCCACCTCTGCGTGTTTCTTTAAAAAAATTGCTTGATAGGATTTTTTTTTTTTAAAGAAAATTATATCCCTTTTCATTAATAGTGAGAATAAAATAGAAACATAATTCACTACAAAATGTCAAGCGTGATATGAATCTCTTTTTCTATGATTTTTATAAGATCACCTTGTAGGACAATGATTGAATTTAAATTCTTCAAATACTTCATTAACTTCTACATTATCACTCCATCTCCATGTTTGATTGAAAAATTTAACAAATTTTTTATAACTAGATGTCAAGGATAACAAAGTTCTAAAAATACAATAGTTGAGAAATCCAGTCGATATATTTGAGTATAAATTAGCCAAAATGTATATATTTGCAATTGGAAAGTTCAAAAACATAAAACATCATAAATTAGAGCTCCATGCAACAAACTTCCCATTTGCTGCTCTACTTTCTTGGAGTACAGAAAGTAAAGGGAAAAGTTACCAAAAACTACCGAGTGTTTTTCTAAAGTAAAATGATATTGCTCTCAGCTGTCCAATTTTCGTTGACAGTTGTGAGCGTGTGTTACTGTTTGAATTTTATTTATTCATCGGTATGCCTACTAAATACAAATAATAATAATAATAATAATAATTTAACAGACTCAAACACTAAGACATGTTTCAGGGTATTTGATCATTTTATTTTTAAATTATATTTAATTTTTACAAGCACGTGAAGGTGAGAATATAGATGACCAAAACTTGAGCTCAATCCGATCTATAAAAACAACATAGAATTAAAATAGACGCACTCCCAACAATCTAATAGAAAATAGATGGTTGAGATCTATAGCATTTTACCGAAAAAAATCAGCATTCTCCAAATGTAAAATTTACCTTCATCTATGTTCGTGGTAATTAGGCACATTATCATTGCAAATTCCATGCAACACAAGTGTTAAAAGTTTTAAGAAGGTCAAAGCTTGTGTTTTACCCGAAGGAGTTCGTAAATAGTCCTATTGTATACTTTTCCAGCTTGAAATGGATAGAGAAATTTCAGAGCTTTCAACTAAACAGAGAGAACTTTCTAAAGAGAGAGAGAATAAATGTTAAGGGGGACTTCTTTATCTGAAGATTTGAACTTTCAGATCGTCTCTAAGTTCAAATGCAAAAAAGAAAAAACAGAGAGAAAAATGATTTGGAGCACAAAAGTGCTAAAATCTGATCCCCCTCAAAGATTGATTCTGGACTGTGACGATAAATCTAGATTTTCAAGAACTGAAAGAGCATTTTCTTTTTTTGAGTTTTTTAAAGGTTGAATAAAAAAATAGGAAATCTTTCTGATAAAAAAAATCTGCTTCACCATGTCCTTCGGAGTCTAGACCACTTAAATACCATTCTCTTGCTCCTATCTCAAGAAAGAGAATCTCATTAAGAAAAAGAAAACCAATTGTGTGTACCAGAAACTATAGAACAAGTCTCTCACTGTAAGTGAAGTTACCCTCTAGTTACTGTTGCCAAGTTCGATGCTGAAACACCTAGATAGCATTCATAAACATATTTGTTAATATAAGCTTTTTAAAACTAAGCAAGTTGACTGGGGATTTTCCCCAAGTCAACACGGTGAGACTCGCCCAAGCCTTACAGTTTTTAGCCTTCTAGCCTTTTTAATTTTTTTTTTTTCAGAGATAGACACGGCAGAGTCTCTCATCACTCGGGCTTGGGACCCTGGCAAATTCCAAATTCATAATATAATTCCATAAAATAAAACCGAAATGTGTTAATAAAAAGGGAACGTATAATATAGAGTGGTGCTCGATATATGGCACATGAAAGTGACATCCACCATCAAATCCTTACGATGAAAAATAGAGATTAATCATACTCACATATAATATCATTCATCTCCATTATTCATCAATAATGCACAGTGGATATCTCACTGGTGTATCCATATCATAGCTCACAGATATGATATACTTTACCATAGTCAGCATAGTACCTTTCGGATTTGGCAGTGCCACCTTTGCCTGTTACCAGAGATTCCACAATCAAGTTTTCACCAAAAGGCACCTCTGAACTAAGACACCCAACAATCATCATCATCGTCAAAGCTTTTTCCCAACTAATTGGGATCGGCTACAAGAATCCTAGTCCGCTATTCTGCTCTACTATAGGTCCTAACCTCAGTGAGGTCATAAGTCCCCATATCTTTTCTCAGTACACCCAACAATAATATTGTAATTAATTTCAGTTTTGTAAGTTAACATATTCCGTATTCAAAAGATAAATCATTCAGATAAGGAATCTAGAGAACAGAAATCCAAAAGAATATTAAGGAACCTTTACTTCATACCTCATAGAAGCTCAGCTCATAGACAAAAAGCGATTATGGCTAGACACGCAAGACTTAGAGGACCATTTCAATGTTTGCCTTTAAAAATGAAGGAGTTGTTTTGTTTCTGAATAAAACATGCAGACGTATTAATAGGTTCAACCCAGTTGCAAGAATTTTGCTGAAATCCGAGTCCCGGTAGGCCTTATTCTTGGAAGATTTCCACCTCCCCTCCTCCAACTTTATCTTCTAAGATACCGTTACAAAATATGAACCATTCTTGGACTGCATCATTAGGAGAATACAGCAAATGATGTGTGCAGAATCCAAATCCAACACTGTCCAGAGAAAACTACTGAATATTGAATGATAGGCACAAATCCTAGGTCCCTAGAGGAGGTTCTAGTTCATGCGTAATAAGTGCTGCAGCATAGGTATCATTACTCTAATCACAGTTGTCATGGATACAAATGGGAGAGAATGAGGGTTAATTTTCCATTAAGAAGGTCTGTGAGACACTGAAGGAACATAGTTTTAGATTGGGGAATGTAGGCCAAATGCAAGGTTTTGTAACTAAGATTCTAATTGTTTTGACAGGGATGAGGAAAAGCAATCACGAATATCAAAGAGCAGGGGAATAGAACGAGAAATTACTAATAAGACGTGATACAAACATAGCCACTCTGCCGTTATTGCAGAGAAAATTAAAGAAATGAAATAAAAGCCTGAACAAAATGCTCATGAGGATATGCAAATCCCTCATAGAACAATTTTATTGTATTGTCATTTATTTACTCTCTGGTCATTCAACATTTCAATGGGAGTCATAGAGTGAAACAACAAAATTTTTGGTAGAGCCAGTAAATTCATCGATGGCACTTCTTGACACATCTTCCAAGTTACAATGTTAAATACATGATCATACATACCGTCTTACGTCTGGTTCCTGTCACTAACTCTTCCCATTCCCAAAAATATTTACCTTGCAACACAAATTGGTTCTGGAATCAGTCAACTACTCATGATCTTTCATATACATCTAAAATATCCTTAATAGTTTTCATGATCAGTTAAGTTTCTCAATTTTCTACAAATATTTGCAACTAATATATCACCTTTGATCATAAGCACATGCCTTAGCATAAAAAGTGAAAAAGAAAGCATCTCTCTCTTTGAGAAACAAGCATGCCAGATATCATTAAACGAGATGAAGTGCACCAGCACCTTTATTCGTAGAAACACAAAGAATAAAGAACAGGGCTAGAGATGTGTACATTTCGAATGGAAGGTGACAAGATTCCCATTGGCTGTCATTTCATCCTAGAAGGTGACCATCAATTTCAGCTCCTCAATATCCTTTCTGATAGTCTACTTTCTTCATCCTTAGGAATGTGCGGGTCTATTTTCCTAAGGTTATGAATAAATGCATTGGCTTCTTCTCTTCTACCTAGCTTACAATAAGCATCCACAATAGAATTGTACGTGTTCTCGTTTGGCCTGCATCCACTCTTGATCATGTATCGTACTACATCAGCTGCCTCTACAAACATGGAATTGGACGCATAACTGGAAATGAATGTATTATAAGTGACAACATCGGGACTAAGGCCCGAAGCCATCATCTCAGAAAATATTTTGGAAGCCTCTTTCATTTGACCTTTCTTACCATAAGCAGTTATAACTGTATTATATGAAATAATATCTGGCTTCACACCCTTTGCTTGAATCTCTCTAAGGATTTCTTCAGATCTTGTACAGTTACCCAACCTACTATACATATTCATCAAGCTATTGTATGTTGTCAAACTAGGAGTAAACCCTCTATCTTTCATGCAGTTGAGAATCTCATGAGCTTTGGCAACCATCTGTCTCCTACCATAGATAGAGATCATTGCATTCAAGGTAATTATATCAGGTGAACAGCCCCTCTTTCTCAACTCTAAGAAAGCATACTCTGCCTCTACCAAAAGGTTGCTCTTGCTATTGACTAGCACCAATGTCTTCAAAAGCACATTGTGAAGGGGAATTACCCCTGAATATATATCATTGGCAAGAGCACACATACGATCAATTTCCTTGGCGTTTGCATAGGAATGAAGCAATGAGCAATAAGTGAGCTCATTAGGTTTGCACCTCCCATCATTCATTTCAGCAAGAATGGTCTCAGCTTGTTTCCAAAGACCCCCTCGAGCCAAAGCAGCCAAAACCGCATTATAAGTGGAGAGATCTGGTCCAATACCCGAAGTTATCATTCTCCTATAGATCATCATAGCTTGATCAAATTCCCCACATCTACTATATGCACTGATAAGGGTATTAAAAGTATCTCTCTCTGGTACAAATCCAGCTCTTTTCATCTCTTTGAACACTTCGGAGACCTCAGAATGCTTACCATTTTGCCCAAAAACAGCTAAAAGAGTGTTCCATGTGACTATATCAGGTTCACAACCACTAGACCTCAGTTCATCGAAGACTCCCATCATCTCGACAAATTTAGCCCTATTTCCGTGCAACTTGATAAGAGCATTGTAAGTACATAAATTGGGTTTACACCCTTTCATTTTCATTTCTTCAAAGATGTTCACTGCTAATTCATCTTTACCTGCCCTCTCGAAACCAGATAGGAGAGTGGTGTATGTGAAAACATCAGGTGAAACCCCCTTTTCCATCATTTGATCTTTTAAGTTCAATGCTCTTCAAACAAACCATCTCTACAATAGGCAGAAACAAGAGAGTTATATGTCACAATGGTTGGTGGGAAGCCATTAACCTCCATCTCTCTAAGCACATCAAGAGCTTCTTTATGTCTCCTCGACTTCCCATACACATCTAAGAGGGTATTGTAAGTGACCTTATCCGGAGGACAACCCACGGCTTTCATCTGTCTAAAAATATCCCTTGCCTCTTGGTACAATGACCCTCGACGACAAGCACTAATGAGTGTGTTATAAGAGTAAGAATCAGGAGACACCCCATCATTCCTCATGGATTCAAAGAGAGAGAAGATTCGATTCCATGGCATACCCATCTTCCCATAGACGTCAAGCATAACATTGTATGTTATAAGTGTAGGTCGACAGCCCTCATCCTCCATCGATCGAAAGAGAGAGAGAGCCTGTCTGTACTTGTGGTTTCTTGCGCAAGCTGAGATTATAGAAGTGTAAGCATACACATCCATGGGGTACCCATCTTCTCTAAGGCTGTGAAACAAGGAATTTGCAGCTGATACATGACCCTCTCTACCTAAAGTCCGAATAATAATGGGTATCTCTGGTCCATCGAACCGATAATTTTCCTGGTTTCTCATCCAATTGAACACATCCAAGGCCATATCAGCTCTTCGATGAAAGCCTAACGCCTTAATTATACCTATCAAATCCCCATCTTCAAATTGGTCTTTATATGAGTCTAGAACATCAAATGCATTGTTACAGTCGTGGTTGGTTAGAGAGATAAGGGCTTCTTTACCTGTATCAGAGATGTTGTCTATCCATGGCTTCCCTCTGTTATCATCTACTGATCGACCAAGCCGCTTCTTCCTCAACATTACTGGAGATTGAGAATTTAGGGTTTCAGTAGTGGAATTCGGTGTGGGTTTGAGCCTCTGGCTCGTGGTGGAGTGGCGAAGAAGGAGCTCTTGGAGAACAGGGGGTAATGGAGAAGAGGGAGGCTGGGGTCTAGGGTTTTGGAATATGGGTTTTGACGGAGGGGGGCCTGGTAGTAGAAGGGGGAGCGTGAGCTTCTCTGACATGGTGATTTGGACTTTGCAGGAAATCGTTGTTCTCGGTGGGGGGCAGAGAGAGAGGGATGGTTAAGTTCAGAGGATAGATAGAAGAGAGAGAGAGAGAGAGAGAGAGAGAGACTGAGAGAGATGGTTCAGGTCGGGGAATGGTAAAGAGAGAGAGTTGTTTCTCAGATGATTCTGCACTCCTCGCAGAGTGACCAGGTTGAATTCAGCGGGAGATATTGGTTCTGTTTTTCGTTGCTGGAAATGAGAGAGAGAGAGAGATTCCCACTGTGATTTTGCAGTGAGAGAGAGACTCGTACTCTGTTCGCTGCTCAGATATAGAGAGGGAGAGTTCTTTACTTTTCTGCAGGGAATTAGAAACAGAGAGTTGGAGTTGGGTTTTTCTGGGAATTGAGAGAGAGAGAGAGATGGATTTTTTTCCTGGGATATTTGTGGCGGGGTATGAAATATCAAAGAGATTTCAAGGTAAATTTACGTACGGATCACGTTTTATTACCGTTATAACGAAATTATCCAGACCGTTATCATAAGAAAAGACGGATTTACAATTTTTTTTCAAGTTTACCCTTGGTTCAATGACCATCGGACCGCTCTTTAGAGAGAGAAAGAGAGACGAAATCCACAAATACGAGTGAGAGAAGGAGAGAGATCCAAAACTGAATGCAGGAGAGAGAGAGAGAGAGACCCGATCCAAAAACTCATAGCAAAAAAGAGAACCCCAAAAACTTATTAACAGAAAAAACCAAAAAATAGGGTACACGATAGCAGAGAGAAATATAATTATATGCTACACTGTCGACAAAAGCTCAGCAACAAAAAATTCAAAAACCAAAACCAATCCAAAAGACACAGAATAAATCGAATCAAATATGTTACACGGTTGAAAAAAACCAATCCCAAAAGGTTATCACCTTTTCCCATTTGGAATGAGCCCCCACAAACCTTGTGCATGCCGTAATATAGCTTTGTACCACGACGATCAGCCTTGCAACCCTCAACTTGAAACCCTAGTTTTTCAATTCAAACTATTTGGATTTTTATGTTTCAACAGTTTCTTAGCTGGATTTCCAAAACCTGCATCTTCAAAGTACGTCCTCTTTAGGAGCTTTAGCTTATTAAGAGTCTCATACTCTATTTCTCTCTCTTTAAAACTGTTATGTATCGGTACAAAAAATTTAGAGAGAGAGTGAGAGCAAGAGCGATAGGGGCAAAAAAATTAGAGAAAAAAAAAAGCTGAGAGAGCAAGATTGGGGCAAATTTGGTTATTTTAGAAGTAGAAAGCGGTCCGATGTTGTAAACATCAAACTAAAATAAACTTGAAAAAAATATATATATCAGGATTCAATTAATAACGGTCAATTTTAAGGCCATTTTGTTATAACGCTAATATACTACAGTTTATAAGTAAATTTCCCTTCTTTGAAATTTCCAATAAATGAAGGTAGAGTATTTATTTGTTGGATGAAGTTTCGATAGGGCTTAGGTTTTACGGAAACAAAACAAAGCCTCACCTCAAATTTTTGTTGGGAAAGCACTTTGGGCATAGAAAATCTTTATGGTGGCTCTAAAACCAATTTTAAATTCCGACGATAAAATTCTTTACAATTATTTTTAAGGAGGAATAGAAGGTCTACATGATTTGTTGCAATATATATTATTTTTAGAACTTAAATTTTTTTTTTTTTGCCACAACTATAATATTTAAGTTGAGATGATCGATTTAAAGGTTTTACAACACTTGAATTATAAAATTTGATGAGTTTTGAAATGAGGTTTTAATTATTTTGATAGAAATGTAACCCTATCAAATCATTTTCCTTTTTTCTTTAGAGCACGATTAGAGCAAGGCGAAGGGTTTACGTAAAAAAAGGTAAAGCTACATGTCGATTCCCACGGAAAATGCCTTCCAGGTGCCGCAAATCAACTGAAGATGGAAATCCTTATTATGGCATTAATTTCTACTTCGGCCCAACGGATCCATACCCAACCGGGACCTAACATTTAGACCTGACTTGGGTCGAGGTATGGGTCAGAGAATTTGACCCAATGGGTTAGGTATGGGTCCAAATATTGGAACTTGGGTTAGGTATGGGTCCAAATATTGGGACTAAATACTATTCAGGTTTGGGCATGGGTCTTGGTTCATGTGGATCCAACCTTAATAGTATTATTCTATAAATAATATTTAACATATATCATTTTAATAATATTTAATTAATATTAAAAAATATATAACTATACATTTTAGTTATAATATTTAATAATGGGTAGTGTAGATCGAGCATATTTATAAAAACTTGAAAATCTTGAAAATTGGCAATCAAATAATGTGTTACAAGATGCACTATTTCTAAAGCATGAAATCGATTTTTTTCTCATCTCCATGTATCTTGATGTTGAGATGATTAATTTGAGGATATTTGAGTATCAAAACATCTTCTAGTGAAATTTTTTCGGTGAATTCTAATTTGATTGTTTGGAGTCTCAGCTCTATATAAACATTTTTCTTTAATAATACATGTATATATTTTAACAATATATATATATATATATATTTAGTTGGGTCCGATCGGATTGGGTCGGGGTCCAGCTAGACCGGGACCTGACCTAGCTTGTTGCCACCACCCCATTTAAAAGAATAAAAAGTTTCATGCGAGCTTAGCCGCATTTCTACAATATGCGATCCCAAGGTATAAAGCATCCATCTTAAAGACGGATGCAAATAGGTGGTCCATCTAAAAACAATTTAAATTAACTGTTCAAATATTTTCTTAATAAAATTTTTATTTAAAAATTTTAAAATTATTTATTTATTCATATTCATGATCTTCATATTAGAGATTACATGTCCATAAAAATTAAGTCCAAAATTCCATCTCAAAAATAGATTTTTAAGAGGTGACTCATTTCTACATGGACTCGTAGAAACCGAGTCACAACACAACCCATTTATCTCTGGTACAATGTGGTCAAAGTTAATTAAGTGAAGGCATTTATTCTAGGAAAGTTATAAAAAAAACCCCAATATACACTATATATGCAACT